AAGCGTGGCCCCCCGGAGCCCAGGCAGCCCGGGGGATTGTCGTGCTCGTTCCTGGTTGCAGACTCTTGCAAGCCGGATGCCCTCTGTGGATGAAAGATGTATTATGGAATGAACCCGAGCCATGGAGATGGATTTCTAGAGCAGCAGCAGCAGCAGCAGCAGCCTCAGTCCCCCCAGAGACTCTTGGCCGTGATCCTGTGGTTTCAGCTGGCCCTGTGCTTCGGCCCTGCGCAGCTCACGGGCGGTGAGTGACTCCGCTGCGACCAGAGGGCCCAGGGCAGCAGGGAGGGGGAGCCTGGCTGGCAGGACTGCCCTGCGGCTCCCCTCAGCCCCTGTGCACCCAGACTTCTGGGGTACGCGAGGACCTCAGGAGTCCCATGTCCCAGCCTAAGACCATCTTTTTCCCAAACCCTTGGAGTTCCCAAAAAATTCCTCTGGAGTTCCCCTCCTTCCCCGCACAGCTTCGCACACCACCCACCTTCTGTCTGGAGCCTCCCACCAGCTGCCCAGCCTGGCATCTGGCTTCTCTGAAGGAAAGACAGTAAGGCTGGCCTTTTATTTTCACTTTGGCAGGGAGAGAGAGAGGGAGGGAGGGAGGGAGGGAGGTGTATTTGTGCATAATGTATGCTTGAGGACCTCTGACCCTTGTCTATGCCCTCAGCAGACACAGGTCAGGTTTTGGTTGCAAGAACCCCCTTGGTGAATGGGAAGGGTCTGAGACCATGGTCAGACTGGCTGCAGGACAGGTTTACTGGAAAGTTCACTTTCTCGTTCCTTGGGAGGCGGTGTGCTCAGGCGTGTCTGTGCGTGTCGGGGTGGGGAGGGGATTCAGGGGTGTTTTCCAGATGTGTTTCTGGAGGATTGCTTGGCTTCTCCAGGCCTGATTTACAGGGGGAGTAAAGTCGAGGGCTTTTCTATGGAGTGGAAGTTGGCCGAGATAAAGGTGGTGGCCTCAGACTCCATAGGTGGCTAACCTATGACATACTGGATTCTGGGGGAGGGGGCTGTCTTTGGGTTGTGGGGGAGGGAGAGAGACGCAGGTCCTGTCTGAATTTCAGAGCCTAAGAATCTCTCTGCCTCCATGGATCACTGCCGTGCATCACTGTTTCCACTCCAGACTTTCTAGGAGACCTTGCTGATGTGTTCATATTAAAAGGACAGAATTGTGTTCCAGAGCCCAGATACTGTTAATACATTAAGAAGGTGTAATTGGTGGAGAAACAGCTATGGACTGATGTACATAAGCCATTTAAGTGCTTTAAAATATTGCTATTTTGGAGAATCCTAAGGTGAAGATGGGAAAAAAAAAAACACGAGTGAAAATTTCGCGAAAGTGGGGGAGGGGACTAACAAGTTGGACGTGAACTCAGAGTAACCAATGACGCAGGCCTCCCACTTAGAGACCTGAAAGATGCTCAGACCCTAAAGGGACTCTCTGTGACGTGCTTGTCAGTTAGTGAGAAAACACTTGCTTTGGATGGGGGCCCTGTTTTGGTTTTCGGTTTCATTGTTTAGGAAGAGGTGCTCTTATTTTTGTAGGAACGTCCCTGAGGCAGGTTTCATCTTCATATTCTGGCAAAGTCAAACGCAATGCCAAGGTGGCACCTGTGCGGCCTGCCTGGGCTCGGGTCGGAGCCTCTGACGGGCCCTGGACATTGTTAGCTGCGCCTCCTGGGTGAGTGGGCATAGGTGGGCAGGACCGCACTGAGCAAGATGACTCATTTCCTTGCCCCTCCTCTCGCCTTCAGTCTCGCTTTCATTCCCTCAAACCAGGTCCGTATAATTTCCCGTCCTCTTGGTGCTTTCCTCCCATGCAGATGGCAGATTAATCAGGGTTGATCTATGTACATTTTAAAAGCATGTTTTTATTGATATTAGAGAGAGAGGAAGGGAGAGGGAAAGAGAGAGACATCAATGAGGGAGAGTCATTGATCAGCTGCCTCCTGCACGTCCCCTGCTGGGGATCGAGCCTGCAACGTGAGCATGAGCCCTGACCGGGGATCGAACCGGTGACCTCCCAGTTCATGGGTTGCTGCTCTAGGATGGTACTCAAAGGAAATTCACCTAAATTCTAGACCTGTGCTTCTAACACTTGAATGTGCATACGAATCAACCTGAGATGTTGCTGAAAGGCAGGTTCTGGTGCAGTTGGTCTGGGGTGGGGCCTAAGAGTCTGCATTTCCAACCAGCTCACAGGTGATGTCCTTACTACTGGTCCAAGGACCAGACTTTGATTATCGATGCTTTAGATTAAGGCATTGCTTAAAATAAGTCAGTCTGACTCTAGACTCTCGGCCACCACTTTCAGTGACCCACATGCAGATGTCCTGTGAGGAAGCAGGTCCCACCCAGTATCTAACCTCCGGGTGATACACAGAGCTGAAAATCAGCCTTCCGAGAGCACTTTCTTTTTATTTTACCCACAGAAAGGTGCATATTTAATAGACACTGTTCCAAAATGTGGATTTTCATTTTTGATTGCTTTCAATGGAAAAGGAACACAACAATAGCAAGATATAATAGTCTCAGCTGGGAGGAAAAAAGCATGTGCCCGATACAAGTGTGACAGAAAAAGCCTGAACTAGCAAGGGAGAAATTGAGAAAATGATCAGTTGAAGAAAGGGGGGGGAAGGAACTCTATAAAAATGAAGTGTTTTGTCCCCGAATGCCAGAGAGTCGGTTCAGTTCTTTGAGCCCTAGGAGAGCTTTCAGGAGCTTGAATTGACCTCAGGTGACTTTTGGGTGGCTCTTTCCAGTTTGTCTTTTGTGAATTGGGGGAAAGGGCCCTTATCTCAGGCTGCTAAGACCAAATACCCTGAGAGGACTAACATCAGGTTGATAGGGAGACACAGGACCCCACTGATCCCAGAATCGGCACAGAGCATGGCTGTGGAGGCTTCTCTTTTCCTCCATCCAGTCCGTG